CTTGGCAATAAACTTGATAATGATCCTAAACACTAGGTTTATTTTTTGTTAGATCAGAATCACACCGGATATATTGATTACTAATTTGATTTATTATTGTATTAATCTTCTAACGATAAATTAGATCAATGACAAAAGATGCCCTGGATCGCAGTTGGTCCTTTCTTGTTTTTAATTTACACTTGCTTTATTTCGTATGGGATAATCACGAAATAGTTTTGTTTGCGGATGACACTTCGCTTTTGTTTAAAATTAAAAAAAGGGCGACTTCTAAATGACGAGGTGAATAATTCTATCGCTAAAGTAGTAAAACAAAAACAAAATGCCTAAAATTTGTACCATCTAATATTAAAAAAGTAGATATAAATGTGAATATAAAAGATAAGAACATGGGCCTTGTGTATACCACAGTATTTTTGGGAATAACATTAGATTCTAAACTACATTTATTATTAGATAAATTGTCGAGTAGACTTAGCTCTGCAGCATATGCCGTAATGAAGATACGTAGGTTAACTGACATAGACACTGCCAAATTAGTATACTTCAGTTACTTTCATAGTGTGATATCGTACGGAATCCTATTGTGGGGAAATGCTGCCGACATACAAACAATTTTTGTTCTTAAAAAAGAGCAATTAGATAAATTTATAATCTTAGGATTAGGGTCTCTTTAAGGGAGAAATTTAAGGAAATTGACATAATGACTGTTGCTTCTCAGTACATATATGAGAACTTAATGTACGTTCGTAAAAATATTACTTTGTTTTCTATAAAAAAGTGATGTACATAATTTTAATATAATAAATTAAAAATAAATTAACGGTGCCTGCAAAAAGTTAATAACTCATTCTTTGTGTGCGCTTCTACAATAAGATCCCAAGCAAAATGCAACAATTAATTATCATGCGATTTAAATCTACTGTTAAAAAATACTTATTAAAAAAACTTATTATAAGGTATCCGATTATGTAACAGATAAGAATGCTTGGACTTAAGATAATCCAGCAACTGGATTGGTGAGTTCTTCTAAATTATGTTATCATTATAAGATCATAGTTTTTTTTCTATTTATAATGATCTTCTAATTGATCTGGTAATGAGATGGTTTTTGTGAATGTCATTACTCCTATTAGAGCTGGTGAGTTTCTTGCTCGTTCTTCTTATCAGTCAAGACGTCTTCAACGAGTGGAAGGGAAAAAAATGCTGAACGATTCAAAATTACTTTTAAGAAGTCTATTTGAATAAAGATTATGCCTTTATATTAGCTGGAGATGTATCTTTGTTTGAATACTAGCAATCGATTCGTTACTTTTACTGTCGTTTTCCACTTAGGAGTCCAATTTTATACCCTTATAGCATCTTGTATTTTTGTGCCATTTCACTTTAGTTTGCGATAGTTATCTATCACTAAGACAAAAAAATATATATTTGATAACACTTAATTATTACAAATTTAATATACCTACTAATTTATTTAATATGTTTATGGCAGTATATGCAAACCGATATAATCATATCATAATTTTGGGGGTAACAAATAAAAGATGTGTGTCGTTGAAAACCGTTTTAAAAAGTGAAAGTGTATTTTTTTTGCAATGCGTTTCGTTCATTCATAATCAATATTAATGTCCAATAAAACAATTAAAAAATCAATAAATATTGATGTCATCATCATCACCAGAATCAGTGTTTTTGAAATATTACAATAACTTAGAATAAACAATTAACTATGATAATGAAGACTTTAATTAAACACATTGAACTAAAAAATATGGGAAACTTTCAAATAATTACCCCATTATCATTCCCGGGCCGATTCAAGAAGTACCATTGAGTAGATATGGCGACGACGAGAATGGCATCCCAGAAGAATGTAGGAGCAAGAACTACTGCACTATCAAGCCAGTAGACTATCCACAGGAGAAATTCAACAGCATAGTTAAAATTGTAAGTATTTTTAACCTTAGACGAAACTGAGACTATTGTAAGTTTATAGCACATCGTGCTATATATTTATCATATATATAAGTTCTTAATGTAGATATTTACTTTGATATTATCAGATGCCAGAAAACCCGAAAATTATCTAAAGATTTAACCTGCTGTTTTCCCGCAACTGTCATCTGCTTAAGATATAGCTTCCCGTAGGTGCAAAAATTAATACAGTAGTTTCAGAGACTATTTAATGCAAACAAACAAACAATCAATTTTTTCCTCTATATAATATTAGTATAACATATTCTCCATAATTCTCATAAACCTCTACATTAAATAAATTGATACAGAATCTACAAAACTGCAAAACGGAATCTACAAAACGAAGCAAACATTACATCCAACAGAAGCGAAGTGTCGCTGTTAGAATCGGTATTCACAAAAATGATTGAGTTATCCCCTCACGTTAGCATCCGTTCTCAATTTGCATGTAAAATCTACACTCACATTCCAAACATAAATCTTGATTCATCTGACGCCATCAGCCATGAACAAAGTACCCTTCTCCGAATAAATACATTGCCATAATCCATAATCAATCAAATATAATTTTACACTTTATTTTAACTAAAAATTCTTTTTTCCAGAATTATTTTGAGCAAGTAAGCTTAGTCCAGTCCGATCATCTAGATCGGGGTGGACAAGGTGATCCTGAAGAAATGGACAACTGCGAAACAGAAGTTCAGGTCAGTATATCATTGGACAAAATATAACTATATAAATGTAATATATACAGGGAGGAATAAAATGACCGACACAGCCGAAAGTTTCACGTTAGGTTACATGCAAACGTTCATTTTATTTGACAAATATTTAAAAATAGAGAAGGTGTAAAAATTGAGTAAAAATTTTAAATTTCCAAGTGTTGACAGCCCTTTAACGCGCATGCGCAATATCGATTGTGCGCAGATTACAACGGACCGCGAAATACATTAATTTAATTTAATTATTTACCGATATCTTAATGATAGTCGATGCTCAAAATGTTTAATTCTTCTCTGAAGACAGCTAAGCACGCTCTTTTGCATGCCAGTGTATGCACGCGCAAAACACATCACATTTCACACAAAACTAAACACAATCTTCACTAAACTAGACATAACACTCAAGACGAACACTCTAGTATCTTATTAACAACAATTCAATTAAAAATGCACTAGAACAAAACAAACATCGACAAAAAAGACGCTTCGCAGCGGTGCGTCGGCGGCGATGCGCAACAACACTCCAGCGCAAAAGGTCGGCAGCGACTGATCGACCGGACAATACCAACAGAATAATGAAGCCGCCTGGCGGCTGGCGGGTGGGCGGGGCTTTGATATTGAGGGACGAACTCGGTTCATATTTTTTTTATTTGTCTTTTGATATCACTCGTTTTTTAAAGTTCTTTTTAAATGCTATTTTAATAACAAATTCCTCAATGTTTTTAAAACAAAGTTCATTTGTGTTAATGATGAATCGCTGGAAGATTTGTGAGTTTATCGAGTTTAATTAACGATCCCGTTGTTAAAGGAGTATTACCCCATTCAAACAATTTTTATGGAGAACTGCTTTTTTAAATAACGTAAGTTAATGGTAGATTGATCTCTCTACAATAATTTAGGAAATTTTACACTCGGTTTCTTAATTGAGTATTTAAAGTTAAACGTCTCAAACTAACATCACTTAGTTTTCGTTTCCGATTTTAGTTTTTTGATGATCAGTTGATAGCAGTTTGATAAAACTAAGACTATTTGACTTGTGAAATTAAAAAAAAACTTTGGTTATTGAGAATAAGCAGTAGAAAATTTCTACTTTTTTCAAATCATAAACCGGCTGTTAGTCTGTAAATCGATTTAAGCATTTTGACTGCCTTGTTCATTGATTGACTGGTAGAATTTGCATGAAAGCAGTCTTTTAAATCACAAACTAGTTTATTTCGTTTTTAGAAATGAAGAAGTCAATGACCGATTTAAAACTTTTCCTTAGTACGTCCCAAAAACAGCTGACTCAGGGTTGAAAACACTCATTTGTTTTCAAAAACGTTGTAATTTAATATCTCCGAAACTATTTGACCTGACTTATATTTTTTTTTTACATTATATTAAAGACAAATAGTACTCTCCAGGAACCTCGGGAGTGACGGTCGTTCTGTTCCATCCAGTATAAATCATGTACTTAAGGTAAAAACAGTATTGTATGTACGTACTTAAGTGTTGTATTTACAAGAACATGAAAAGTATTAAATAATGTTACATTTTGTTATGGTAATTGATCACTTATAGCTTATAAATAACAATTGTTGAAAACACAAATTTCATAAGGACCCTAACATACATGAGTGTTGATGATAAAATGTAAAATACAAATATGATATTCATTACTCAAAGATTATCGAATGTTTTTCAAAGCAATTATTGTTATTATCCTATTTGTTTAGATGTAGACATTTTCTCTTAATATTGTATTCCAAATAGATTACAATTTTAAAACTAGCATTTGATAAAATTAGTAGTATAAATATATTTTCATATTTAAAAAAAAAAACTGGGATTTTGAGAGTAGGTACAACTAAAGTATTATACATATTTTTAGCTATACGGAATCCGGTGTCAAGGTGTAAATATTTTCATTTCAAATTAGTTAATTAAGCACCGCAAAAAAATTGTTTACCGCAAAGGTAATACTTGGAGCCACTTGCTTTCACAAAAATGTGTTTATAATAAATACTGAACATTCATTAAATATTATCTAAGCTTGACTACGTTCAATTACAACAACTTAGGATATCTATTGCATTCTATTGCAATCGCTTTCAGTTTGAAAGGTGTTGCACAACCATTGCTGCATAATACAAATACTTTTTTTTCAACTGTCTTCAGAAACAAGCAATGGTTATGCAACATCTTTCAAACCGAAAGATTTTAAAGTTAGACAATTAGATCCCTGTTTATTGAATAAAGTGACATGTTTGTTATGCTGTTGATGTTAATTGTTTACAACAATCCTGAGTCTTTAGTGATATGGTGAGTGAGTTTTTTCCGTATTCAATGAAAGTTTTTTAACACTCATATATGTTAAGTAACACAATTTATAAAATGAATACGAAATTTATTTTGTTATTATATTATTGTTAATATTTTTATAAATTAGGGAACAACTAATGACTTTTTTTCTTTTTTTTTGTTTTATTTATAGGTATAGGTATACTTATATCTTAATGGACACAAGATCCTAATGACGCAGCAAAATACTGATAATATTTTCACTAAATCTGTATATAATTTCTTTGCAGTATGAGCAACTGTATAAGGTGAAATCTGACAATGGTGAATGGCGCACAGTTGTCCAGGCACCAGAGAAAAACTTCGTTCAGAAAGTGAGATTGGAGACTTGCCTGTAAGTTGTCAAAAATTCTAAAGAACTATTTTGAATTTATGCTATTTATAATGATAAAATTCCCCGAAAGGGGACTGGCGTAATGATATAAATCCGTAATATTACAATTCTAATGTAACAATGGATTCTTATTCCTTACCAGAAGTGAAAACCAGGAGTGCTTCGAGGTCATTCTTAAAATGCCAGGCTTCAAGACTTACTGCAAGCAGCAATACAACAAATGGTCATTTGTTGTGGAAGCTACCGATGGTTCTAGCAACACCGAGAACATCACCGTAAGCCTGCCAACATGCTGTAGTTGTCACTACAAAACAGGTTAAAACCCGCTCGTGCGCAAGTTGATCAATTGGAATTTATATTTCATAAATTTATCAATAAATAAATGTAAAACATTTTAAAATAATAAATAGATAGCCTCATTAATTCTACTTGCAACACACAATTACATCATACACAAAAAATATTTACATAAGAGAGAAACATGGCGTTTAGAAAGTTTATGCTCAATGCACAAAAATTGACGACGTACATGACACATCGATTTTTGGAATTTATCAAAGTTAGTCAGGACATTTTATAAAGATATTAGAAAGAAGTATGAAGAGTAGAATATTATTTATTACTTAACATTTTAAAATGCAAGTGAAACTTTCATGACTTTAGTTCTTCTTACGGCTTATAGATGGCTCAACCTACCTTCAGCTCTGGGATTCGAGTCCGGATTTCCAACCAATCTCATGAGCTCGTCTTGCTTTAAACATTATGTAATAACTTACGTTCTACATATTATAATTACCACCAACAACTGGACTTTCTTTCCGTCGTTGCCGTATCCTCGCTACACAAGTTGATTCTATGTCATATAGGTAGTCTGTTGATATATAAATATATTTTATCACTAGTGGACGCCCGCGACTTCGTCCGCGTGGAAGTCGGTATCCCGTGGGAGTGAGAAGTTTTCCCAGTAAAAAGTACCCTATGTGTTATTCTGATGTATAACCTATATTGCTGTAAAGTTTTATCCAAATCCGTCCAGTAGTTTTTTCGTGAAAGAGTAACAAACATCCATACATCCATACTTACAAACTTTCGCCTTTATAATATTAATAGGATGTAACGCAATGAGGAACTATTAAAAAAAAGAAACTACGAAAAATTATATAACTAGATGGCAGCACAAATTGTAAAATTTAAATGTCTGTTCATAAAGTTAGACCAAAGAGAATAGAATTGTCAGTTTTGTTATGGATCTGATAACTCGGATTAAATAGAGTTGAATTTAACACAACTCTATTAATACGAATAAATTTTTGAATAAATTTATTTTTTATTTGTATAAAGGAAAATGGAAACTAACTTAATGAAAGTGAGAATAGAGAACACTTTTAAAGTTTTGGAAATCAATAGAAATAATACGGTATTCAATAATATTACCGGGAAATAGTTTTTATAATACTTATTCCGTAGCAGGTCTAGGCAATTTTCACTATAATACCTAATTAACAAAAAATCTGAAAACAATAAAAACTAGGTAAGTAAGTTTTGTTGCTCTTAGTTGTTAGCTGAACGTAAGCAGCAAAACTACATCAACTCTCACTGAAGTTTTTATTCATTCATTCATTCATTTACCACACATAATAGTGTACCTGTGTGGGCACTCCCAACACGATGAATAGGGGACCGGAGATTGCACAGTTGCGCATCTCTGCTCTCTAGTCGGGGGCAGCTGGCCGGTTCGCGCGCCATACACCGCACATCGCCTTCCATGAGAGGGACATCGCTGAGTTTTAGTGGGTAAACTCCTGTTTCTTGTTTAGCCCCTTCGGGGGTGGGGCCGCAGGAGGAGTCCCATATAACCCGTGGAGCCCGCGCTGTAACGGGAAAAGCATTTCTTAGCGTCAAAAAAAAAAGGTGAGACTACACTTAGGTACTAGATAACCTAGTATGTATTCATTATATCCTATAATGACGTTAATGAATAACGTCAGCATCAAGGGCGGATTCAGGGGGGTTTTGGAGGTCATTATCTTCACTCTAGCCGGTCGTGCATTGCTAGATATTTGATAAAAAAAATAATAAGATGCATTATTATCCTGACTGGATCTCAACTTTGTCACCCCCTTGACTTTGAGGTTGCATTCGCCCTTGGTCAGCATAGTAATTATTGTGTGACTTGATTTTCTTCAAATGTAATGTATAAAAATGTATAAACTTGAATAAAACCTTTTTTTCATTAAAATTAAACTATATATTATATTACAGTTTGAGCATAGTTTTCCCCGCGAGGTAATCGATTTTTTCAGTGCTACAATATTTATAAAATTATTTTTATACAAATAAATTCATATAATCTCAAATTTATACAATTTAATAAGATACATTTATATAAAACTTAACTCAAGCATTTTTTATATATTATTTATTTTATCTAAATTGCCTCGTGAAATAGACAAATGGCCAAAGAAACAATCTCTACAAGTCAACCAATACATTTAGTACAGTATGTTGATATATAGGTACATTACGCTATTGATATCCCTACATAAGAACTACGAGTACATCTTAATATATATATAGAAAAATATATTTATACTATAATAAAAACGTAACCAATCGATGTCTGTAGATAGAAGATTTATGACAAAAACTGTTATGAGGGACATTTATAAGCGTAATAAAATACAAAACAATGATTTTTATATTTTTTGTCTGTGCGTTTGTGCACGATAATCTCAAACGCGGCTGAACCGATTTAAATACAGTTTTCACTATTATATTGCGACATTCTTCCGTTAACATTTAGTGTAAGATTTATTTCGATCGGGTCACAAATAAAAAAGATATGTCAATTTGACGTGACTGTTTGCCAAAATTGCTATGAAATATTTACTGTTTATTTTTTTCTTTGATATATTGATCATCATCATTAACTCTTTGACAGCCAAACTGCACGTCCTCAGGCCTGTGTTTAATAATTTTTGGCCACCCATCCCGTGAATAACTCTTGCGAAAATTGGTTAGCAATTTCGATCTTACGCAGCGGCGGAGCGGAGAATCCTACTCATCCCCTGTTGCTTGCCAGGTAACAGAGACAATGTCAGTAGCTTTTCCAAGATTTTTTTTTCAACATTCTCATCATTGTAGATACGTACTTCAAAAATGGTATTTTCAGTCTTCGCTGGAAACAATGGTTTATTCATTGGTCACAACACTCATATAATATTACGCGAGTCTGAGGGTGGGTTCAGAGTAGCTCAGTGGCGTAGTGAATAAGGGCCATAGCCCGCGACTGTAGTTGTTAAGCAACTTTCGCAAAGGTCGGGAACAGGATGGATGACCAAAAAATATTATCTCAAGCAACTCCAAGCTTCGGAAAGCACGTAAAGCGATTGGTCCCGGTTGTATTTGCAGTCGTTAATATCCTCCAATCCACATTGGACCAGCATGAAGGGTCGTGGCCCATTCTCTTTAACCATCCATAAGGAAGGCCTGAGCTCCTGCAGTTGGTGACGTAAAAGGGCTGATGATGATGATGAAGGCCGTTCAAATCTGACAGAAGCTCAGTTAAGCACTTCTCGGAAGTATGTTATAAGACGATTTCCTTCAAGTGTGAAACCGGAGTGATCCACGGCCTCACAGAAAACCGACGTGAAGCAACGCTTGCGTTGTGTTTCCTCCCTATTCCCTTCCCTCTACCCCTCAACCCTTCCCTCCAAGGCCGGCAGCGCGCTTGTTGCAGGTGTCCATAGGCCACGTATTTTCCGTCAGACATGTACAGACCGACATTTATTGACAAAAAAATAGATCAAACAGAAAGCGCTCGGTCTCGGGAGACTCCTGAAAAACGCGAAGCGTATTTAAAGTAAAGATGAATCGGAAGCATTTACATACATGAAGTATGGTATGAGTATGAAATTTCCTTTGATAGGGAAATGTACTTGGTCTCTTTAAGAGCTCGCAGTTTGCACAATAGAGATCGAGAAAGTAGTTTCGATTATCGCCAACCCGTGTTGACTTCATACTCCACAGGCGTACCGCAGATAAGTCTTGAAAGGATATAATGAACTAGCTATTTTCCCACGACTTTGCCGCAATATTATAGCCTATGACATGCACGTCTGATGCAGCGTCCCGTAGGTCGGAATCGCTCTGAAACTATCGGTCCAGTAGTTTTGGAGCAAATTCGATGCAAAGAAACAACCAAATCTTTCCACTTTATAATGTTAGTATAGCTTAGGTATAAGGGGTCCGATGGTGTAGTGGGTTAGCGCATTCGGTCTAAATTGCAGTTAAATGAGTAAGTAAATACTGCACAACAAGGACATACATGAATACCTATTTTACATAACTAAGTACAAACGACAAACTCATCGTTAGTCAGCGATTTCTTCCAGGCAAACTAGCATTACATGAAAAATAGAACAATAGCCGATTGTGCATACAACTAGACAAATAATAATAATTTAAAAAGATCAAAAATAAAAGAAGGACCGTTTAAAGTTACGAATAAAATGCTCAGACCCAAGCGACAAGCAGAGCGCAAGAAATGAGAAAAAAGAAAAAAACCCTGGTTGGCTGTATCATTGATACAGCCATATTTTATGCGTGGATACGTCTATGTATGAATGGATATATGAGTAATTGATAAAAAAAGAAGAAATACTATTCAATTATAATTATGTTTAAGTACCTACAGTAGGTACTTCAACAGATTTTTTTATAATATGATTGGTAATGTATATCAAACATGTAACATGCAATTAAAACATAACTACATTAAAACATGCAATACTCTCAAATGCTTAACCAAATATTAGCATACGATTATGTGCTAATAAATATTCATATCATTTCATTAAATCATATACGAATATTGTATTCAGTTTTTAAAAGCTTTTTTTTTATATTTCGCCATTTATTAATATGTCAATTTATAACGAATGAAAAAAATCGTTCGTAGTGTAAAAATGAAAGTGTAATCAAGTTATCGATTATTATATACATTACAAGTAGAACATCCTTAACAGCTTCATGTACGACATGACAGTAAAGATGTCGGCGATTTATTGTAAAATATTCATGCTTGTTCATATTGTTGCCATTTTCGACGATGTCCTTACTTGAATTTGCACGAATTTATTTATTTTTATTTAAAGATTAGCAAATTCACTCAAAAATATTTTACATTTTATTGCTAACGCATATAAAGCTATATTTACGTGTTCGTAGATGGATGTGTACATATGCATACGTATGGCATAAAGCTAATTTTTTTTTATTAATTGTATTATATTTATTGTATTGTATATTATAATGATAC